GAAGAATAGTTTATTTTTTCCAATTTGTGATTATGGTTTGTCTTTAAGGCAGTTTGGATGATACATGGTCGAGGACTACTACAGCCAAATCCATAAATCTTAGTGTAGCAACTTCACTCTCTTTATGGGTGACGTTTGATGGATCTCAATATTGAACCTGGCATGGGAAAAAACTTTCATGGGTTTATTTCTGGATGGCTATGAGCATGAATATCAGTTCCATTCAAATTTTCTGGTTAGATTGACAGTGATCTACCGTGTGTATATTGGTTGCATAAGTTTTTTGTTTCTGCAAAGCTTTGGTAACTCACTAATTTGAGGCACCTCTTGGGGCACACCAATTTGCTTCCATCCAAATCTGATGGAAGGTTGGGAGGGGAAGGAACACATCTTTCCTTCAATTCCATTCAACTAAATAAAAAGTCAAAAGGACACCTCCCCTATCCTACAAATGCCTCTTCAATCCCCTCATGTTCCCTTCATCTACTTTTCTATCCCTTCTACCAGTTGGCTCTATAGAAGCTTCTACCGATCTTCTACGGATCATCTGGTTTTTATATCATTCTAATGCAAGAAGAAACTTTATGGACTTCTTCTTCAACCTATCTGATGATTTGACATACTTTAGCAAAGAATCCCATTCCCAAACAAAACATTTATGAATTTTATCTTCTTTGATTAGTTCAATATATGTACCTAATGGCAACAATAGTTCAACTGTGCAGACTAATTAGAATGCATTGTACTCTCTGTACTTTTTTTACTTCACCATTTATGGTCACTGTTGAACTTTGTGGTTAATAATCTTGTGAAGAGACATGAAATTTTTTTTCAGCTAATACTAACTGGTGTCTTTTCTTTGTCGAAAAATCAGGCAAAGGCTAAATCTCATAAGAAAACGGAAGAAGCCAAGGCACATCATTGAAGAAAAAGGGCTCTTGATAGAAATAATGCATGGTGGGTGATAGAACATCACTAGTGTTTTACTATACTTTTCTCTGCAATTTTGATAGAAATTGTTTACTTAATTTTGGCCTTAGACATTACTACACCACTTGAGAGTTTTCATTGAACTAAAGTGGGGGAACTGTGATGATGATGTGGCACTTTTATGGATTGTCGAGCACTTTCGGGTGTCCAGACCCAATGTTGAATTGCATGAAGTTCTCATTGTGTTGTTGGGTCCACCCTTTTTTATAAGATTGGTTTAGTGTGCAGTTTGTCTTGTTGATCCATTTTGATGAGTTTGAGCAGCCAAAGTTCTGACCTTATTTTAAAATGCATGTTCAACTCTTTTTTAATTTTTATTTATTTATTATTATTTCTTCATGTTCTAGTTTCAAGCTTGTTAGATAGCCTACTTAAACTCAATTTCAATTATGTTTGGGTGTATCGAATTTGATTTGGAATTTGAATTGGAAAAAATTTAGTTTATAGTTTAAATTGAATATTTTTTAATTTTAATTTCAAGGTGCTGGTCCGTTGCGATGCTTTCCAAAGGCATAAAATGCAACATATAGAAAATATAATATTATAGCTGTGTGTGTTCTTCTTGCAATAAGACTTGCCAATTAGTTGGATTTGGATTGAATCTGCTCCGATCTGAATCTGATAAGCATTTTACTTGATCCGATAATTCAAAGGATTTTTTATAACTGAATTCATATCTGAATATAAAATACAGAAGAAAAAGAAAAATATCATTTACTCTCCTTAATAAATAAATGCTTAGCTTAGTGAGTAGTTTTATTTTACCCATTTCTTGTGTGTTCCAATAATAATTTACCATATCAAATTTAATAACAAAATAACTTACATTTGTTCAATGGTTGATTCGAGAAAAACAAATACAAGAGAACGTGAGTTATTTTGTTATTAAAACTGATGTGATGTGGTTACTCACCGATGAGTAGCTAATCATTATTTATAAATTAATATTATGACATTAGTAATATGTATATTAGGAGATTTATTAGTACGTAGATGAGAACATCACACTTTTGTAGATATAACATTAAAAAAATAATAATTATTTTTTGGTTGACATTAGTAGGAGATTTATTAGTGTATGTAAATGTGATAACATATATTTAATTGGATCGAATTATTATCTGATTGGATGAGCACAAATCCATATATGATTTGTTAAGGAATCGGATTATCAGATTTAGATTGTAATCGAATTATTAAATTTTTTGTTCAATTCACATTTGAGTAATCGGATCAGAATCTGATCCATTAACAAATCTACTTGTAATTTTTTTTTTTAGTAAAAGTATATACGAGCAAATAATTATACTTGGTTAGTGCTTTATCTTATTTATAAATTTCATAAAAGTTTTTGTCACTTAATTATAGACCTTATTGTAGTTCATGATTGATTAATAAAGCAATCGCGCCTGTGGTTTTAAGCTTGCTTAATCCGAGTTTCTTAATGAATTAACATTTCCCACTCCTAGGTTCTTTTCATGATCAGTGATTATGTTGAATAATAACCTTGTAGTTAGAATTTGACAACTGGTAGGCCCCACTCGGATGTGCTTTCCAGTGGCACTTGATGTCCTGTCAACCACTCCACACAGTAGTAATATTTGAAGTGATCAAAGCCGTCCACGTACTGTATTCCACAAAATTCAATCACAACGTACACACATACAACAAAAACATTCCATATATCCAAATTACCAGACTTAAGAGGTTACTAAGTAGGACAAAGCATATATTCACCAAAGGTCCAAATCCTTTCAACATTTTCTATTTTTTATCAAGGATAGAGCTAGTTCATCGTCACTCTCTCTCTCTCTCTCACACACACACACACACATATATCCAAAATTAAATTACCCGATCTAAAAAATCATTAACACGGGTGGATCCAACATTTCTGAATGAAATGGACTAACTTTGAATTAGGCTAATTTAGGGTGAACTATCAGTACTATTATTATTATTATTTATTTTTTCTGACTGGGCTTAAAATAGTATGATAAAAAATAATTTTTTATTTTTATCTTTGGGTGGGTTGAAACCCACTTTCGCCCACCCTTAGATTCGCCTGTGGTCATTAAGGAGGCCCCACCGTATATTCCTTAAATCTTTCAATAATCTATTTTAATGAAGGATCACTGTGTTTGAAACATGGTAGGAGACAAGAGATCATGGAGGTGGGGGAGAGAATTTGAAAAATATGCACAAAAAGTTACTACTTTTCTTTTTCAATTTCTTTTTCTTAGTTTGGTTAAGCATTCAACAATAATAAATTTTCAAGATGAAACAATAATTACTATGTAGTCAATTTAACTGACATTTCGCTAGATGTCATGATGAAGTTAAATTCGTCGTAATATAATAAATTGGTAATACTTAGGCGTTTTATTTTTCTATTTATTTATTTATTTTTTTTAAATAAGAAAGTTCTTTTTAAAGCAATTTGCTAAAAATTTGTAGATAGTACTAATTCTTGCAAAACTTATAGGAAGTGAAATAAACTAGGATTAAATGTCCAAAGACTTGAATAGGTTGTCTATGATTCTATAGACAATGGAATGTCTATGCTTCGTTTTTTATAGCCCAAACTCCAAGTTCAGTGTGATTTTGTATGTTGGTTAGGCAAATATTTTGGTTGAATTGAAAAATCTTAATTCAAACTTAATTAGAGTTAAAGTCGCCATGAATTCGAATTCTAATTTTATTTTTTATATATATTTTAATTTTAAATATTATATACATATATTTCAAATTATGATTACCAATTTTTTTTTTTTTTTTCAACTTTGTTTTGTTTTGTTTAAATCTTAATTTATTGTATATTAATACTTTAAAAAATTAATTTTCTAAAAATTTATATTATATTTTAAAAATAGTTTATGCTTCATAATAATCTAATATGAAACTAATAGTGATCAAGTCGTTTTATAGCCTAATTTCTCTAACATGAGCTCACCTTTAAAAAAAAATTAAAAATTAAAATGTTATTGTAGGCGTGTGAAATACTGCAAGTCTGTACGAACTATTAGTGTATAGTAATAAATCTGAAGATGAAACAATAATTAATAGTTGTGACCCATTAATGTAGTGTGTTGTCAATTTAACGGACATTTTTTTATCTAGTACTAGAATTGACGTGCACTTGAAGGACTGTTTCTTAAAGGAAAAGAAAAATGCTAGATACCACAACAATGTTAATTGGTCACTATAGAAAAATATTCGTAAGGGTTATTGTTGATAGGGTGTTATTTTTTATTTTATTATATTTTTCTCTGGGAAGGAATTCTTTTAAAGAAATTTAAGGTGATTGTTAGCTTACATAATAAAAATTTACAGGTAGTCAAACAGGTGATTTTGATGGTTTATGAACGGTTAAAAGTTTGCACTTATATTTTAATTTATAATTAGGAATGCAAGTTGTGCAATCGGGTGAACGATCTTAACCCAAGTTCGATCTTTTAAAAGTTTGGCCCATTTTATAATGGTTGAACTTAGACTGAAAATTCTTAACCCGAATTTAATTAAGTTAAACTTGAGTTGACATGGCAACAATTCGATTTCAATTAACCCAAATTTTATTTTATTTTATTTATTTTTAATTTTAAAACATATTATATATATATATATACTTCAAATTATGATAAACCTTTTCTTTCCAACTTCCTTTTGTTTAACTCTTAATTTATTGTACTCCTATATTGCTATAATACTATAGGAAATTAATTTTCCAAAGTTAATTTGTAATTCTTTAGAAATTTTGCATTATATATATTTTAAAATTCATACATGGCCTAACTACAAATTTGGTTCTATGAACTGAAAATTTGAAAGTGAAAGCAGAATGGTACAAAAATAAATACTATCATGTATGGAATAATGCATGTTAGGAACATAGCTCATCACATGGCCTTGTCAATCCTTAAAACAGCATGCATAATCTGCTAAATTATATTCACAATCCAAGGGCATTTTGGTCTTCTGACCTTATTGGTTCCCATTTAAACCCATTCGTATCAAACAAACAGGATTCAAACGCAAAACTATCCTCTCTAGCTACGTGTTTGTCTACTTATATATATATACACACCCACACCCAAAAAGATACACAACACTTTCTCCGTTTGAAAAAATGTCACCGGGTATCGGAAAATGCAACAAAATCCGTCACATTGTCAGAATCCGGCAGATGCTCCGGCGTTGGCGCAAGAAGGCGGCGTTATCGTCATCATCGTCATCTATACGTGTCCCCGGCGTCCGTGTGCCGTCCGATGTGCCAGCGGGACACGTGGGTGTCTGCGTGGGAACCAGTTGTAGGAGATTCGTGGTGCGTGCGACGTACCTGAACCACCCCATCTTCCAGAAGCTCTTGGTTCAGGCAGAAGAAGAGTACGGCTTCACCAACCAAGGCCCGTTGGTCATACCCTGCGACGAGTCGCTTTTCCAAGAGATTCTCCGATTCGTGGCCCGATCCGAGTCTGCTAACTCGGCCCGGTCCGTCAACCTCGATGACTTCCAGAGATGCTGCCACGTGGGCTTCAGAGAGAATCTTGATATTTTGGCTGAATCTCGACCGTTGCTTCATGGGTTTGCTGATAAATCAGTCTGTTAAGTGGGACCTCACTCGGTGGCTTGACCTGGTTGATCCGGTTTGACTCGGCCGAGTTGAACGAGTTTGTCAAACTAACTGAATTCAACTATTATTTTTTTAACCGTTTGATGATTGAGTTTGTTTTCTTTTACTTCTTTTCTTTTTTTTTTTCTTGGGCCAGTGACTCATTGAGTGAGTTGTGCTTGGAGATGGCAAAGTTGTGGTTGTAACTCAACCGAGTCGTCCCGAGTTCAAGTATTATGTTTATCGGGTTCTCTTGTAATTTTTTTTATTCGTTGCTGAGTAGTTAGTAGTAGTAATTTGTAGGAATTGTAGAGATATTTAAAAAGGTGTTTTGGTATTAACTACAAAGTTTATGGAAATAACAATTATAGTTTGTGCAGCTGTAACCTATTCATTTATGTTATTAATTATTTATTTAGTATAATTAAGGTTTTAATTGTATTTTGTGCAGCCGTAAGCCAGTAACCCATTCATTTATGACATATATGTTATTAATTATTTATTTAATATAATTGAGTGAACTCCTTTTTTTTTTTTCCTTTAAATATTATAATATTGAGTGTAGATTGGGATTCTAATTTAATCAAAGTGATTTGGATGGATAAGAATGGAGAGAAAGTGTTTGTATATGGTTGATTGGATTCCGTTGATGGATGAGAATTGAAAAAGAAGTGTTGGTTTTGTCAAGTTAGGGGAAAGTGGATTAATTTGATGGATAAGAATGGAAAAAAAGTGTTAGGTTTTGTCTTTTAGTTAGAATTTTTGGTATGAATTTGTATATCCATTAAATTTTATTTTTGTTAGAAGATGACTTAGCAAACTTTTTTAAGGTTGCATTCCACGTAAAATATTTTTTCGAAAATTATATATATATTTTTATGTAAAATGTTTTTTTATTTTTATTTTTTTGTGTTTGGTAAAGTTTTAGGACCTTAGGTTATGTAAAATAGTTTGAAAAAAATTGATGAATAAATTATTTTTATTAAGTTTTAATTTTTTTTTTCTTCATGAATATTTTACAATTAAACACTAAAAAATATAAAAAATATTTTACGTTTAAACAAATAAATAGAATTCTATGCAACTTAAAGAGAAAATTGATGGAGGGATTCACAAAAATTTATTTATTTACATATATTATTTCATTTTATCAAACTCTCAAAATATATATATATATATATATATATATATGAAAAAGAACGTAAAGAGCAAGTGGTTAGAAGGAAGTGCAAAATTCGAATTTTGATTCTTAGATACAAAGAGCAACTCACCACTAGACAACATCGCAACTTGCAATATCTTTGCCAAGTCAAGGCCTTTAATGTTGAGAAAGGTGGACCTAATAATATGTTTCACTATGATGTGGTTTCTGCTTTATATACTCTCTTTATTTAGAGCGAATTAGCCTTTTTACCTTTCGTGCCTCCAATGAAGCCTTCAAAAGAGTCAAGAAATGAATAATAAATAAACAAGTGAAAAACACACTCTGCACATGTTGGTGTGCACAAATAAAAGTTTACGTTTTAATTTTAAAATATGTAAAAAGTATAAAATAAAAAATAAAAAATGCCCCTTTCCTCTTTCCTTTTGTTTTTCTCCCCGCTTCATTCCATTTCCTTCCATCCCCACCAGCTGGTTGCAAAGATTAAACTTGTCACTCGAAGAAACTACAATTAATCATGGAGACTCTATCTAATGGAGTACTCATATACATTCTGTGATCATTTCACTCCCACTAGTTTTAACCTGGGTCCGTATCGCATACACATTCACCATTAATATTAGGTGCGTCAAATATATTAAGTAATAAATATTCATGCTACTTAATAAAAATTCACCGTATCGGATTGTTGATAGTATATTTAATAAGTAAGATAACAAGTATATTTACATACATACATATATACATATATATATATATATATATATACAGATATGGCGAGTACTCAGTCAAAAACGGTAGTGCATTGGAGGGCTGTGATCATTTCACACACTGATGTTAAGTGTGCAAGCGTTGAAATTCTATGATAATGACAAGATTGTCCGTCCTTCAGGAAATTGTGCAGTAGGGGTGAGAACATTTCCTTGTCTCAATCAATCAAATTGTAAAATGAAAGGACTGAAGATTCATTCTGGTAATAATAGAGGCACTTTTTATTTTCAAATGAAAATGTTTTTTTTTGAGGTGTGGCCTGTGGGAGAGAAGTGGAAGTCAATTTTTGGGATGAAAGTAACTTCCATCTTTCTACTTTCATTATGGGTGGAATTAGGATAGACTTTTCAGATACAGAATCCAACCACCAGAAAGAGTTGGATAAGATTAAGGTAGCTCTCTCTTTCATTTTCGATTGTATATGAAAAGATGAAAAATCAAAATCAGTTGGGATATCTATAACTAAAAAGCTAATATAATCTTATATCTTTAAATGAGGAATGCTATTTATCGTAAAATTTATTTAAATATTATATTTTATGAATTTTGTGGAAGAAAGAAACCTCTCTAGAGTTTTAAAAGGTCACGGTTTGTTTTATAAAACATCAAAACTCATTTAGCCTAAGTCTATTAAAACATTAAAAGTCTGTGTGTTTGGAACTAGGGGTGTAACTTGGGCGGGCCAACTCTACCCAACCCGAATCCAACCTAAGAATTTTGGAACTTAGACTTTGAAATTAACAAATTGGGCTCAAAAAAGGTTGGGTTTTCTCTAACCCAATCATGTTTGGGTTGGGTTGGGCTCGGTTGAACTCGAGCCCAACCCAAACCCAAACCCAAAATTTTTTTTTTTAAACTTTCAAATTTTTTTTTTTTTTTTTTTTAATCCAGATTAAATTAAATTTATTACCAAGCCAAAGAGGTCCTGGGAAGGTATGGCATTTCTGGTTTTCAAGAGGCTGCATCTTGTTGCCTTTTACTTTCTGATATAAATTTTACAAATCATAGTGTAACGATCCGAACCCGAGGTCATCTAAGGCATTATTGTCCTATCCCATGTCAATGCATAAAATATATACGTCATCCCAAGACTAATAGTACATCATATCACTTACATCACAGAAAACTCACAAATGCAGGTAGAATGGCAGCGGCGTCTAAATCTATGGATACAAGTTATACGTCTATACTCCTCCGGTTTCCTGAAAATGTTAAGATAAGGGGTGAGCTCAACAGCTTAGTAGGTAATACCTAAAACATCGATTTTGGACTCTCTTGAGCCAACAACCAAAGAATGGGAATAGAAAAGAAGTGGGGGTCATGCAATTGGAGTCCGTACAACATTTATAACATAACAATCAATATACGCAGTCACATATCACAATTCTTGAAAATCATGCACATGATATGAATTGTTATGCATCTCATCCCAAACTTGGTCTATACCAACCTAACACTTACTTTTTGAAAAACCCGCTAGCTGACTTTACTGAGGCGAAATTGATAGTTATCATCAGTTCCAATTCTGGCAAAGCCTGTCAATCGTTAAAGAGCCTAGTATCAACTTTTTCACGCCCTACACCTGGCCGTGCTCCCTTTAGGTCAAGCTAGTCCCAGGCTCGCGAAATGCAGTTCATTTCTAAATCCTTTCTTCACAATCCTTTCGAAACACATTTCTTTAAAAATAATCATTTCAACATCACTTTTCCGAAACCATGTCCATGCCATGAATGGAATCATGCATAAATGAAAGTGATATAAACATGCATGCACTTTATCAGTTTAGCCATACATACTCATCATCATATATATGTAATTTCAAGAAATAAATTCAACGCAAGGCATATTCATTAAACAACTTTGCAGCTAAGTATATATACATACACAATTAATATCATGTAGAGCATGTTTCGTCGCATAAACACGTAAACACATAAACGACATTCAATTTTTTCCGAAATTTATCATTTTAAGCATGTTTATCAAGAATTCAAGTATACAAACTCAACTAAAGTCAAAACTTAATGGTTTAGACATCTCTACTGACCGGTCCTTTACAAGGGTCGCGATACCAAGTCAAGCTTGAAGAGTTGTGTGTGAATTTAGGAGGTGGCCAAGTTTTACATTTATAGAAAGCCACTACTACCTTTCTCTATATAAAATATAGATAAGGCGAGTAGGGATCGTCCCAAGGGATTTGATGGTGTATCGAATTGTGAAACTATGGTAATTAGGGTTAGTAGGTCAAGTGATCACACAATTGGTTGGTTGGTTGATTAAGCTAAATTGAATTCAACTAAATAAAATAATATGAGGTAAACAAGAGAGAGAGAGGTCTTAGGGTGTAGAGATCACCACCAAGCAATACTTTTCTACACTACTAACAAGTGATCAATTGAGGGTAATGGATGTGTTTGCAATATGATAAGGGTGTGTGTGCATTAGGTTGATTCAATTGGCAAGGATGACAAATCAAGCAAGTATTGTCTAAATATCATGTGAAGAGCATAATATATCTAAACAATAGAGCATATATTGTCTAGACAACATGGGGATAGCACAATAGATCAAAACAAGTCATTAATCCTTCATTAAGCTCACAATCCACATGCAACACAATGTTAGAGGAATATGCCATTTGGACTCACAAGCATGGAACATCAAATATCAAGAGTAGATTGTCTTCCCATCTAACATTACACTACCACTACACTAAATCTACACTACTGGCATGAAAATAAAGCTATCTAGACTAGGGGAGAGGCACAAACCATCAAGAATAGGCATAAACCATCAAATGAACCAAAATAGCATTCATTAAGCATATCATCTTGATAATCTCTAGATCTATAGCATCAATACACATAGACATGCATCAAAAACACTAAATCTAGAGATAAGCACATGAATATCCTACTCTAGCATACATAGACATATGGATAGAATAGAATAGTCAATTGGAAGCATTAAATCATACAAACCATGAAATAATCAAGATTTATATATACATGAATATCAAGATGTATCATACAACACTAATCCCTCAATAATACACAAGATTAGAGTATAGAAAGCATGCTTGGGGGTAACTCTAACCCCAAGAAGATGTCTAGCCACTCTAGCCCCAAGAAGATGTCTAGCCACTCATGGTAGTGATGATCCAACCCTCAAGGGCTAACTCCATGGCTGCTCCTTGTTGGTGAAGATCTCCTCCAATGGTTGCTCTAGCTTCCTCTCCAAGAATAGCCTCCAAGATGATTTTCAATGTGTGACAAGAGATTCTAGAGCCCTTCTCCAAAAAAATGTATCATATTCCTTATATAGGTAGGTCAAATACACCCTATGATGAGCTGTGGTCGTGCAAGGCATATTCTCCAATGATTGGGTGAAGGACGGAATAAATGAGCTGGACTTTAACTTTTTCTCGCTGGAGGAAGTTCGATCAA